CTGTTCTCCAATCTGGTTTTACCAATTCACTCTCCCACCAGCCATGTGTGAGTTCCTTTTCCCACCTTGCCAACCCTTGTCAATCTGATGGATGTGAAATGGTGTCTCGTTATTGTTTTCATCTGTATTTCTCTTATTATAGCCCTGAGACTTTGTTGTTGTTAGGTGCCATCGAGTTGGTTCTGAGTCACAGCGACCCTATGTACAACAGAATGAAACACTGCTGGGTCCTGCGCCATCCTCACAATTGTTGTTATGCTCAAGCCCATTGTTACAGCCACTGGGTCAGTCCATCTTACTGAGGATCTTCCTGTTTCTCACTGACCTTCTACATTACCAAGCATGATGTCCTTCTGCAGGGACTGGTCCCTCCTGATAACTTGTCCAAAGTACATGAGAGAAAGTCTCCCCATCCTCACCTCCAAGGAGCATTCTGGTTGTACTTCTTCCAAGACAGACTTGTTCATTCTTCTGGCAGTCCATTGTATAGTCAATATTCTTTGTCAACACCGTAATTCAAAGGCGTCAGTTTTTTTCCTGTCTTCCTTATTGATTGTCCAATGAATGAGGCCAAATCCATAAACCTTTATGCTTATTTATTGAGCACTCTGGTTTGTTCTTCTACAAATTGCCATGCTATGTAAGATAAAAAAATTTTCTTTGATTTCTAAGCTGGTTGAGTCAAGGTGCTTGATTACTGGTGGTAAAAGTCACCTGACTGGAACAGACATCCCTGGAGTGGTGTGCTCTTCTTCCTGTTTGCACCAAGAGATGCTTCATCTTTTAAGATCACTTCTTGGGACCTCTGAGCCCAGCCAGACTGTGCTGACATTTCCAAGCTGTGAAGGTGCCTGGTGTGCCCCCCAAAACCACCACCAGCCCTGTCAATTGTTCCCGCATGACTATGGTTCCCTTTAGCAGAGCCCAAAGCCGGCAGGCTGAGGGCTCAGGTCTGTACTGTTGTTGGTAGAACAGAGGTAAAATTCAGGCCAACCAGGACGGGGTCCCTGGGAGAAACTAGCACCTCATGCGTTCGCTGCTGAGTCGGCATAAATCTCTCCAGAGAGCAGTTTGAGAATGTGTGCAAAGACCTGACAATGAAAATCCTCTCCATAGTGTTGTTTATAATAGCAAAAGAAAAGGAAGAAGGGGGAGGAGGAAGAGGAGGAGAGAAGGAAAGAATATATGTATGTGTGTGTGTAGAGATGTTATAAGGAGCCCTGGTGGCACAGTGGTTAAAGCACTTGGCTGCTAACCAAAAGATCAGCAGTTTGAACCCACTAGCCACTCTGCGGGAGAAAAAACCTGGCTGGCAGTCTGCTCTCATAAAGACATACAGCCTAGGAAATCCTATGGGGCGGTTCTGCTCTAACCTATGGGTTCACTATGAGTCTGGATCAACTTGACAGGAACAGGTTTGGTTTTGGGTTTTTTTTAATACATGATATAGCTATGGATATGAATATAGGTATAGGATATGAATATAGGTATAGGTATAGAGGTAGAGATCACATCTGACCCAAGCCATGGTCTTTTCAATCACCTCACATGTACACAAAAGTTGTATAGTGAAACAGAAAAACAGAAGAATTTGAGCTATGGTTGGTGAAGAATATTTAATCTACCATGGACTTCCAGAAGAACAAATCAATGAGTCTTAGAAGAAATACAGCCAGAATACTTACTTCAGAGACGTCATCATGAAAGACCAATCGCTAGAAAAAGACATCATGTTTGGTAAAGTGGAGGGTCAGCGAAAATGAGGAAAACCCTCAGTGAGATGACAATGGACTCAAACATACCAACCATCATGAAGATGGCTCAGACCCGGGCAATGTTTGTTCTGTTGCATAAAAGGTCGCCACGAGTTGGAGTCAACTTGATGGCAACTAACAACAACAAATAGATCCTGATAGGTGCCAATAATTAAAGTGATAACCTCTACATCACAATTTCTCTACCTCATCACTATTGACTTTTCGGGCCACATGATTCTTTGTCGTGACGGCTGTCCTGTACGTTGTAGGATTAGCAGCATCCCTGGCCTCTGCCCACAAGATGCCGCATGCTAAAAATCAAAAATGTCTTCAGACATTGCCTTGGAAGGACACAATTCCTCTCGCTACACCCTCCCCCGCCCGGTTAAGAACCACTGCCCTAGAAGGAAGGCAATACAGGTGAAGTTTGACTTTGATTTTATTACATCTGCCCATTTTTAATTGTTTTCTAAAATGAACATAAGGTGTGTTAGTGACATAAAAAATTTGGTGTTCCTTCATGTCCCATTGCCTGTGTTGTCAAAAAAAAAAAATGTATGTGTGTGTATTAGTTTGTTGCTGTTTGATTGGGTGCAATCAAGTCAATTCCTACTCATGACAACCCCATGTGACAGAGTAGAACTGCCCCATAGGGTTTTCTAGGCTGTGATCTTTACAGGAGCAGTTTGCCAGGTCTTTCTCCCTCGGGGCATACTAATGTGAATATCTTTTCACATATAAATATATTTAAACAAAATGATAGTCACATTTATATTTACAAGTAAGTAAACTAATTTTGGAGCCCTGGTGCGCTCTGCTGCTAACCAAAAGGTCGGCAGTTTGAATCCACAAGGGGCTCCTCGAGAGAGAAGACCTGGTGATCTGCTCCTGTAACAATTACAGCCTAGGAAACCCTATGCAGCAGCTCTACTCTGTCCTATAGGGTCACAATGAGTTGGAATTGACTTGACAGCACACAACAACAAACTAATTTTCCACCACCTGCCTGTCAGTTTGTCATACTGTAGTGGCTTTTGTGTTGCTATGATGCTGGAAGCTATGCCACTGGTATTTCAAATACCAACAGGGTCACCCATTTTAAACAGGTTTCAGCGGAGCTTCCAAACTTAAGACAGACTGAGAAGAAAGGCCTGGCACCCTGCTGCCAGAAAATTAGCCAATGAAAACCTTAGAGATCACAACAGAATATTGTCTAACTTGCTTGCTTTGGACACGTCATCAGGAGGGATCAATCGCTAGAGGAGACATGTTTGGTAAAGCAGAGGGCCGGTGAGGGCCAGAGAGACCCTGGGTGAGATGGATTGGCACAATAGCTACAATGATGGGCTCAAATATGCCGGCAATTATGAGGATGACGTAGGAGCAGGCAATGTTTCGTTCTGTTGTGCATAAGGTCGCCATAAGTCAGAGTCGACGAGACTGCAGCTAACAAACAAACAAAACTAATTTTATTATGATTTTAAAATAGCTACGAAGAGAATGAATATTGAATACACTGCCAGAAGAACGAACAAATCTGTCTTGGAAGAAGTACAGCCAGAATGCTCCTTGGAAGCGAGGATGGTGAGACTTTGTCTCACGTACTTTGGACGTGTTATCAGGAGGGATCAGTTCCTGGAGAAGGATATCATGGTTGGTAGAGTAGAAGGTCAGTGAAAAAGAGGAAGACCTTCAACGAGATGGATTGATGTGGTGGCCGCAACAATGGGCTCAAATATAACAATGATTGTGAGGGTGGAGCAGGACTGGGCAGTGTTTCGTTCTGTTGTACGTGGAGTCACTGTGAGTCAGAACCAACTTGAAGGCACCTAATACATGAAGAGCATACTCTATACAAAGGTGCCCCCAAATGTCAATATTCCTAAGAGCCTGTAAAATATTTAAAATCTGTGGACTAAGCATTGTGATTTTAAGTATGTATCTTAAAGAAGCAATCCTTAATATAGTAAATGCTTTACAAATATGGGTTTTTTGTTTTTTGTTTTTGCGGTCATTTATAAAGCAAAAAGTTTAAACACTCTAAACCCAACACAAGGAGACTAAGTTAATTATAGTACATTCACTTGATAGAACATAATCCAGCATTAAAATTACATTTACAAAGGGTTTATAACAATATGGGGAAATGTTCATACCATATTGTTAAGCGAATATGTTGCACAATCCCTAGCAGGTATAAAAACAATAACAACATAAAGACTCGTATGCATCAAAATGGCTGGAAGAAATGCAGCAAGATGTTAAAAAGTGATTGTTAATGGACAATGGAAGCACAGGTGAATTTTTTCCCTCTATTCCTCGAATATGTCCCAATTTTCTATAATAAACATGCATTCATTTATAGTGAGAGAGAGAACAGTAAAATTTATGTAAAAAAAAAAACCTCAAAATGACCACAAATAAAAACATACCCAAATTTCAGGTAAGAAATATAATAGCTTGATATTGATCCATACCCAAATTTCCTTCCACGTGATAAAAATTACTTGGTTCAAAAATTAAAATGTATTCAGAAACTACAATAGAAAACAAATGTGATTGTGTCTACCTTCATCAGCTCTGGGGACGATAAAATTTAAGGGCGATTACTACACAGAGAAGAGGGCATTGGTGTTTCAGTGGTAGGATTCTTGCCTTCCACGCGGGAGACCCAGGTTCAATTCCCCACTGAGGCACCTCATACACAGCCACCACCTGTCTGTCAGTGGAGGCTTGTGTGTTATTGTGATGCTGAACAGGTTTCAGTGAAGCCTCCAGACTAAGACAGACTGGGAAGAAAGGCCTGGCAATCTACTTATGAAAATTAGCCAATGAAAACCCTATGGATCCCAACAGTCCAGTCCCATTGTGCATGGATGGGGTCACCATGAGTTGGGGGCCGACTTCACGGCAGCCAACAACAACAACACTACGCAGACTGCCAGAAAAATGTTGTATGTAGTAACATGATATATTACAAACAGAGGATGCTTTTTATGAAAAACAAACTGGACAAATTTTTTTTTCCAGCCTAGGATCACATTCTTCTAAAAGAGAGGGCCTGGGTTTAGGAGCTAAAGTAACTGGGATTTGATTAGAATTAACAAGGCAAGGACAGATTTCTGCCACCTCATCAATTTTGGTCTAACTTGTTTGCATTCACCAAGTGTTGTGGATCATTCCAACCACGGGAAGCACAACCATCTAGACAAAGGCGGCCCTTCTTGTCTTTGTAAAGCAATATTTGCCCAACCTGGCCATTCGCAGGTGGCTCCAATGAGACCTCTTATTAGCGGCTCCCCCGTCTAGATCTTATAATAGACCTCAAAGAGGGAGGCAGCTGCATGCATTCGGTAGAAAATGGAAAAGGGCATGGCCAGGTTGACCACAATTATCCAAGGTTCAAAGCCAAAGACGATCTCCTCCAATCCATTGTCATACTCTGGGCGGCAGCCAAAGGCAGGGGGTATCCAAAGCTGTAAGAGAGGGGGACACAGGCCATCATGCTCACTTCCTTTCCACCACCACCACACCAAGTGTGAGCCGCCTTCCAGCACCCATAACTCCAGGTGAGCAGTGGTAAGAAATAAGGGGTCTCAGCATTTCCCAGCATTCCCATCTCCACGGAGCCCATCACATCCGTGGAGCCTGCCATGATCCTCCCCTCTTCCTCACCCACCCACACAGTCAGTCCCAAATGAACGCTTTCAACGCATGGAGTCCTCTCCATCCCCACAGCCATCATCTTGGTCCAGGCCCCAGTGTCCCCGCCTGCAAGGCTGCAATGGTCCCCAACCATCCCTCCTCCACCAGGGGGCACCTCTGATCACCACCCCCCCCCCACTACCACCACCACCATGGGTAGATCTGATAAAGCATGATCTGATCTCATCACTCCCCTGCTCCCAACTCACCCATGGCTTCCCACTGCCTTCAGGAGAAAGTCCGTGTTCCCACAGTGGTCTGGCCCTGTCCACTTAGCCCTGCTCCCTCCTCACACCCTTCTCTCCTGCTTCCCAGCAGGGGTGTATCGAGGGTAATGAGTGACCGTGGGCAATCTCTAAGATGCGTCCCCCTGCCCAATTTCAAGATGAATAGACAGTGATAACAGCAACAAGTCAGCAGAAACGCCTTACCCCTCTTGTCCAGCTGCCTCAGTCAGGCGCCTTTCATATTTGTGGCTCCTTGTAATGTTGTTCGGCACCTCATCCGGTGCCCCCTTGGACTTGCACCCAGGGGCAAGTGCCCCTTTCTGCCCACCCTCACTAAGCCTTTGTTCCCCAGGCTGCTCATCCCCCAAATATGCCTTCCTCTTCCGAGTCCTCAGGGCTTTGTTCCTGCTGTGTCCTCTGTCAGGAGCTCCCCACCTTTCTTCCTCTGCTGAATCCTGCTTTCTTCCCAGACCTGAGACACTGCCCCTTCCAGGAAGCCCTCCTTGATCTAACAAGTCTGGATGGGAACTCCTTCCATGTTCTTACCACCCCCTGAGTTGCCCGCTCTTGTCACTCACTGCCAGCAACAAGGACCTCCCGGATCGTAAGTTCCATGGGCAGCCAGGAGCTGAGCTGCCCAGTCTCTGGGCCTCCATGACACACATGGGCCCAGCACAAAGTAAGGGCCTCACGATGATAAGGAATGGAGGATCTGCAAGGTATCCTCATTTTACAGATGGACAACCTGAGGCTCGGCATGGAAATGTAATTTTTCCCACGGCCACACCGGAAGCTCTGGGCCTGTGTGACTTCACCTCCAGGACTCCTACTCCTGCGCACAGCCCGCTAAGGAAGCAGACATGGGGAGGTGGCCACGTGGAGCCTGGGCTGGGTCTGAACTCTGGATTTCTGACCCCAATGTCCTTTCCAAAAGGCTTCATGCCTGCACTGAAGACTGATTTGTGGGGGGCACGGCACAGCCTACAGAGCCATGCATCGCTGCTTAATGCTGGTTATCAGGCGCTGTTTGCCATTCCACATGCCAACACTGCGTGACTGTCCCCAAGACTCAGCCCCAGCTCCACGGCCAGCACAGCACAGCTCAGAGGCCCCAGTGTCTGAGCCATGAAGGCCACTTTATTACAGCACCCATCTTTAAACACCAGCATCAGTGCCTGGAGACCCAGCCACGTAGGTCTGGGCAGGTGAGTTCTGTAGTCTTATTTCCGGCTTGTCCTTGGCATGGAGATGCCAGACCAGGCCTGTCCACAGCCAGCTGCGCAGGGGAGGAGTCACTTGTGTTCATGCCACTTGACTAATTTAACCTCTCTAAGCCTCGGTTTTCTCATCTATAAAATGAAAATATTAACACCTGTCTCATTATACAGGTAGAAATTTTTAAAAAAAACAAACAAAACATTGCCATCGAGTCAATTCTGACTCATAGGGATGCCATATCTGCTCCGTAGAGTTTTCTTGGCTGTGATTTTTATAGTAGCAGATCACCAGGCCTTTCTACCATGGTGCCACTGGGTGGGTTCAAACCACCAATCTTTAGGTTAGCAGCTGGCAAAATCGCTTATGCCACCCAGACTCCTTATAGGTAAGAATTACTGTTGTTGTTAGGTGCCGTTGAGTTGATTCTGACTCATGTCAACACCATGTGACAGAGTAGAACTGCTCCATAGAACTTTCTTGGCTGTAATCTTTACAAAGTAGATTGCCAGGCCTTTCTCCCATGGAGCAGCTGGGTGGGTTTGAACTGCCAACCTTTCAGTTAGCAGCCAACTGCTTCACCACTGCACCACCAGGGCCCCTTAAGGTAAGAATACTCACCTTTATTCTGATTTATTTATAAGAACAAAATGAGAACTAAGTTTGCAAACCCAAAGCAACGGATCTATTGTTTTTATTGCTCATGTACCTACACACTGGTCATCTTTCTCAGGCTCCCTGTCCTAGTCCCTCTCCTTTTGCTGTGGATGTTGTTAGCTGCTGTCAAGTCAGCCTCTAACTCAGAGCGACCCCATGGAGTGAGACCCTTGTGATCCACAAGGTTTTCATTGACTGATTTTCAGAAGTAGCTCACCAGGCCTTTCTTCCTACTGCGTCTTAGTCTGAAAGCACCGCTGAAACCTGTTCAGTATCATAGCAACACGCAAGCTTCCACAGACGGACGGTGGAGGCTGCGCATGAGGTGCGTTGGCCAGAAATTGAACCCGGGTCTCTTGCAAAGAAAGTGAGAACTCTACCCCTGAACCTCCAGTGCCATGCCTTCTCCTTTGCTGTTGCTATTTGTGCTGTCAAGTTGGTTCCAACTTTTAGTGACCTTATAAGGCAGAGGAGAACTGCCACATAGGGTTTCCTAGGCTATAATCTTTACGAGAGCAGATCACCAGGTCTTTTCTCCCTCAGAATGGCTGGTGAGTTCGAACCGCAGACCTTGCCATTAGAAGCCAAATGCTTTAACCATTGTGCCACCAAGGTTCCTTCCTTCTCCTTTAGGAAGAACAAAAAGCCAAACCCATTGTCATCGAGTTGATTCTGACTCATAGACACCCTATGGAACAGAGTAGAACTGCCCCATAGGGTTTCCAAGGAGCAGCAGGTGGATTTGAACTGCCAACCTCTTGGTTAGCAGCCAAGCTCTTGTGGGGCTCCTCAGGGCTCCATCCTAGACTCACTTCTCGTTTCAGTCTGCACACTTGTGCAACTTTCTCCACCTGCTACTGGGGTAGGCCCCCTCTAAGCTGGCCCCTAGTGATCCCCACCTCCTGGGCTTCGTGCCCTTGTGGAATCCCCGCCCCTTGAGTGTGGGCTGGACCTGGGGACTGGCCTCTAACAAACTGAATACAGCAAGGTGATGGGCCTGCATTTTGTTCATATGCTCTTGCAAGACAGGAAGCCAGCTACCACGTTATGAACTACCCTATAAAAAGCCATGTGGCAAGTAGCTCAGGGAGGCCTCGGTCTATAGCTATCGAGGAACTCAGACCCTTACCCTCCGTCCAGTAACCCACCAGGAACAGAATCCTGCCAACAGCCACATGAGTGACCCTGGAATCAAATCCTCCCCACCCAGTCCAGCCTTTAAGTGACTGCAGCCCCAGCCGATAGCTTGACTGCAGCCTGAGAGAGACCTGGAGGCAGAGACACCCAGCTCAGCTGCACTTGAATTCATACCCAACCCACAGGAAACTGTGACATGATAAATGTCTGTGGTTTTAAGTTACTCAGTCTTGGGGTAATTTCTTACACAGGCATCGGTGACTAATACACATGTTTTCATGGACATCTACGTACAGAACCTCTCTGGTTTAGCTCTCCACCCCTGTGTTCTTCTGTGACTCTGAGAGGTTTTCCTGCTAGGATTCCAGCTGGTTCTCCCGTCTCCTCCACTGGCTCCTGTTTCTTTGCTCAGCCTCTTACTCTTGGCCAGTCCCAGGGCTCGTTCCTGGGCCCCTTCTCATCTCTATACACATGACATCTGGATGATCTCACCCAGTCCCTAGCTGTAAATACCAACTATAGGCCTACGGTAGCCCTACTGGCACAGTGGTTAAGAGTTCAGGCTGCTAACCAAAAGGTTGGCAGTTCAAATCCTCCAGCTGCTCCTTGGAAACCCTATGGGACAGTTCTACTCTGTCCTATAAGGTTGCTATGAGCTGGAATCGACTCGACAGCAGTGGGTATAGGCCTGTTTTCTGAGGCACCTCTGGATGCGTTTGAACAGTCAACAGTTTGGTTAGTAGTCAAGTGCTTAACTATTTGCACCACCCAAGGCTCCTTACATAGCAGTAGGTGACGTACACATCTGCCCATTGGCTATGTCCACTTGGCTCTCTCAGAGACCTGAAGCTGAGCATGTCCAGAACTTCCACTCTGCCCCCAAGCCTGCTCTGCCTCCAGCACTCCCTATCATCATAAATAACATCACCGTCTACCTAGGAACTCAAGGTAGAAACCTGGAAGTCCTTCTTGACGTCCCCCTCCCTTCATCTCCACATTCATCCACTCACCAGCTATGGCTGACTTGACTTCAGGAGTACCTATGGAAGCTCTGTCCCCCTAGCCACCACTGCTGTCCTAGCAATCCCCATCGTCACCCAGACCATGGCAGGAGCCTCACCTGCCTCTCTGCACTCCCTCCCTCCCCCCCATCCATTTCCCACTTGCAGCCAGAAGGATCTCCTTAAGACATGAACCAGGTCCTGTCATTCTCCAGTGTAAAGCTCTCCAACGGTTTCCCATTGCATTAGAACTACCAGTTGGCATTGAGTTGATTCTGATTCAAGGTGACCCCATGTGTGTGAGAGTAGAACTATGAACCATAGGGTTTTCAATGGCTGTGACCTTTTATAGGTAGATTGCCAGACTTTTCTTCTGAGAAACCTCTAGGTGGACTCAAACCTCCAACCTTTTGGTTAGCAGCCAATCGCATTAACCGTTTGCACCCCCAAGGGACTCCTGCATTAGGATTAAGTCCCCGTTTAAGGCCTTGTGTGGTCTGCCCAGATGTACTCTCAAGTTTATCTCATGCCTCT